ACTGTCACTGGGGTGAGGCCTCCCTTGGCCTCCCTGTGAGCCCTCCGGCATCAGAATGATATTGCAAACATTAATGCTAGTTATGGATAAGCTCTACAATTCTTGTAATCTTTCCAGGTTCTTCAGCATGGGTCAGGTTTGGCCTTATGAATAGAGCCTTGGATTAAGAGTCAAAAGATATTAGAGATAAACCAAAACATAACAACAACAAAACTCCAATTCATTTCTTATGAAATAAAAATTATTTCCATGTAGAGAATTTGGTTAAGGAGATTACTAAATGTTTACATTGTGTATGTTAACCATATTTTTATATAATTACCATTTGTTAAAAGAGAACACGGATTACATTAAAGTCTACACTCTATTTCACACTTGATTTTTTTTAATGTATTTTATTGATTTTTTACAGAGAAGAAGGGAGAGGGATAGAGAGCCAGAAACATCGATGAGAGAGATCCATCAGCTGCCTCCTGCACGCCCCCCAGTGGGGACGTGCCCGCAACCAAGGCACATGCCCTTGACTGGAATCAAACCTGGGACCCCTGAGTCCACAGGCCGACGCTCTATCCACTAAGCCAAACCGGTTCGGCTGATTTTTTTCACCTGACAGTATATCTTGGACATATTTCCACAGTAATCATTCTTTTATCAGTGAATAGATGTATCACTTTTTTTTCCTCTCCAATTATTCCCTTATTAATGTACATTTTTCCTTGCCTACTTGTGGAAATGTTTTCTGTAGACTATTAACAGTGGAAATGCTGAGCCAACAGATTGATTTCAATTTTAATTTTTGATAGAAACTCTTTTGAAAAAAGTTGTATGAAAGGCAAAACATTTCCTAATTCTTCACTTGATTAAAAAAATATCTAGGGGCTTGAAGTGGATTTAGAAAGAAATGAGAAAAATCTCAACTCTTTTTAATAATCCCTTCCTTCCCACTTGTCTTATGCCCCCCCCCAAAAGGAGCAAAGAAAGAGAAAAGAAAATGAGTTGTTTGAAAATTAATCGTTCATATCAACTTAGCATTAGTAGTCCTCTCCCAGAAAGTTAAATGATTTATTTCCCTTTCATCCCACTTTAAGCCTTGCTAACTCTCTCTGAAGGAAGAACTTTGACACTCGTCTGAGGAGCAATCTCTTTTGACAAGATCTTTATGCTCTAAGAAGTCTTAAATAAACCAAGTTTGGCACTGTGCTAGATATGAAAGGACACATTCACCTTTTCAGAAAAAAAGTCTTACAGAAACATATTTCTCAAATAATTAGTCATAAACATTAGGAAAAAGCTGTTTAGTAACGTGTGCTCTTGCCAAAGCATAAATCATTAAATGTGATTCATGGAGACATGTACATTGGTTTCTATGTCCGTGCCATCACAACTGGGTAGTTTATAATTGCATATTCAAGGCCAGCCTGGGGGTTGCCATGGAGAGTACATGAATCTGCAAATATATTAATGACATCTTGGTTTCAAAAGTTAATCCCCCCAAAATAAGATTACATAGGAGACTATGGGTTAAGATCCAAAATGATTTTGGAAAAACCATAATCGTTAAAGTGATGTTATTGGCATAGAAATCTGAAAGTGGTTTTAATAATTTTTAAATTTTTGAAAATGGAACAATTGAAAAGTACATGTTTAATGAAATTAACATGGGAAGGCATTTATAAAGATATGGGTGCTTGGACCCTAATAATTCCATTTAGACATTAATTTTTAAATTCCTTCTGTGAATAAATTCACAGTTAAGTATAGCTTTCTTTTTTTTTTTAAACATATTTTATTGATTTTTACAGCGAGGAAGGGAGAGGGAGAGTTAGAAACATTGATGAAAGAGAAACATTAATCAGCTGCCTCCTGCACACCCCCCACTGGGGATGTGCCCACAACCAAAGCACATGCCCTTGACCGGAATCGAACCTGGGACCCTTCAGTCCACAGGCCGACGCTCTATCCACTGAGCCAAACTGGTTAAGGCAAGTATAGCTTTCTTAATATAGTTCCAAGTATGCTTGGAACCCAAGTTAAGAATAAATTTAAAACAAGATAATAAGAAACTTTATGTGATAGGCTGAATAATGCGCCCCCCACCCCCCGCAAGGTGTTCTAATTCCTGAAACCTGTGAGTATGTTACCTTACATGGCAAAAGGACTTTGCAGATATGACTAAATTAAGAATCTTAAGATGGGAGGTTATCCTGGATTATCTGAGTGGTCCCAGTGTAAGGACAAAGGTCCTTATAAAAGGCTCTATCAGTGGATAGAGCATTTGCCTGCTGACTGAAGGGTCCCGGGTTCAATTCCGGTCAAGATCACGGATCTTGGTTGCAGGCTCCATCAGGCCCTGGTCAGGGTGTCTGCCAGAGGCAACCAATCGATCTGAGACACATCGATGTTTCTCTCTCTCTTTTCCTCTCCCCTCCACTCTCTCTAAAAATCAATGGAAAAATATCCTCTGGTGAGAATTAACAAAAATAAAAAAACAAGAAAAAAAGGGAGGCAAGAGGATCAGAGGAAAAGAAGGGATGTACAACAGAAGCAGGTCACACTTAGAGAGAAATTTGAAGATGCTAAACTGCTGGCTTTGAAGATGGGGAAGGGGACCACTAGCCAAGGAATGCGGGCAGCCTCTACAAGCATGTCAAACTCAAAGGCTAACACAGGCCAGATAAACAAGGTTTAAGTTTATGTGGGCCGCAAAAAAACAAAAGCTTCAATTTTCATAGAAACGTAGGTTTATTTCGATAGAGACAGCTGAATTCAAAGGGCTGAAATAAATGAGTAATTGTTAACATAAAATAATAGAACAGCCCTAACCGGTTTGGCTCAGTGGAAAGAGCATCAGCCTGCGGACTCAAGGGTCCCAGGTTCAATTCCGGTCAAGGGCATGTACCTTAGTTGCAGGCACATCCCCAGTAGGGAGTGTGCAGGAGGCAGCTGATGGATGTTTCTCTCTCATCGATGTTTCTAACTCTCTATCCCTCTCCCTTCTTCTCTAAAAAATCAATAAAATATATTTTAACAAATAATAGAACATTTTAATAAAAATTAATATTTTTTCTTGAACATTACCTTACCAGACACTGAATTACTACACAAATTAATAAGCGTAATGCAAATAAACCTATTTTTCTTCTTCTCTGAAAGCAAAATATTTCCTGTTGCGCACACCAAACAAGTCAGTCCAAGACTAATGATGTAGCAATTGGCTGCTAAAATATTTGCTGCTAGTATTAGTGGAGAGAATGGTGCACCTGCATGTAAGGCGCAAAAGGGAAATGAATGCAACATGATTATAGTAATCTGTCATTAGTGAACATTGTAGTTCGTTATTAATAATTATGTATTACAGGATATTGTAAAAATTAAGTTACGAAATTTTTATTAAAACGTTTCTTACAGCCCTGATTGGTTTGGCTTAGTGGATAGAGCGTTGGCCTGGGGACTGAAGGGTCCCGGGTTCAATTCTGGTCAAGGGCATGTACCTTGGTTGCAGGCGCATCCCCAGTAGGGGGTGTGCTGGAGGCAGCTAATCGATGTTTCTCTCTCATCGATGTTTGACTCTCTGTCCCTCTCCCTTCCTCTCTGTAAAAAATCAATAAAATATATTTTAAAAAAATAAATAATACGTGTCTTACAGCTCTAACCGGTTTGGCTCAGTGGATAGAGCATCAGCCTGCTGACTGAAGGGTCCCAGGTTCAATTCCGGGCCAACGGCATGTTCCTTGGTTGCAGGCACATCGCCAGTAGGGGGTGTGCAGGAGGAAGCTGATGGATGTTTCTCTCTCATCGATGTTTCTAACTCTCTATCCTCTCCCTTCTTCTCTAAAAAATCAATAAAATATAAAATATATCTTTTTAAAAAAGTTTCTTACATACTGTTATATTGACTGGGCCTCGAGTTTGACATGCTTGCCCTCATAGATGGGGAAGAAATTCTCGCCTAGAGCCTTTAGAAGGAACAAAGGCTTGATGACACCTTAATTTTAGCCATGTGAGACTGCTGACCTACAGAACTGAATAATAAATTTGTATTGTCTTAAGCCAGCAAACTTGTGGTGATGTATTACAGTAACAATTGGAAACTAACACATTTTTAAAAAGTAGTTGCACCCTAACCCTGACAAAGTTATCACCAAATATAATCAAATATCATCAAGTGGTGGGAAAAAGATGACAGCATGAGATTATCTTAACACTCGAATCAGTTGAATATCGGAGCCAAGAGAAATTCTGAGAAAAACCTCCATGTAGTTTGCTTTAATCTATAATATTAGAATCCCGTTGAAGCAAATTGGAGAAATATATTTAAATCTTTAAATATTATCTTCGGTATATTTCTTACTTTCTATGTTTTTTTGCTTTTATTAATACAACTTATTTACTTATTTATTTATTTTTAATTTATCTCTATTGTTGAAAGTAGTATTACAGATGTCCTCTTTTTCCCCCAATTGACCCCTTCCCCACCCAGGCCCGCCCCCTCCCCAGGTCTTCACCGCACTATTGTCTGTCCATGGGTTATGCATGTATTTACTTTTAAACTTTATCTCTCCTTAATAAAAATTAACTTTATCTCTCCTTAATAAAAATTAAATTAGTTTCTTTCCAAAAGAATTCTTTTTCTAAATGTTTTTATTGATTTCAGAGAGCGGAAGAGAGAGGGACAGAAACATCATGGGCTGCCTCCTGCACGCCCCCTACTGGGGATGAGTCCACAACCCCGGCATATGCCCTGACCGGTAATCGAACCATGTCTTCCTGGCTCATGGGTGACGCTCAACCCCTGAGACACACCAGCCAGTTTCCAAAGGATTTTAAATGCTAAAGTGGGACAGGTGTGGGTCAGCGATTAGGTCTTGTGGCACTACCCGGTTCGGCCGGCACCTGGCTGGGGGGCGCTCAAGAGCCCGACCCGGTTGGCAGGGCGACGGGTGGAGGAGGCGGAGCAGGAGGAGGAAGTGGTCAGAAGCCGGGGGTCGGGCTGCGCCAGCCCGCGATGCCGCTGCAGAGGTTGCTGCTCGCGGGTGCGCGCCGCGCGGTCTTCGGGTCCGCGGAGCCTGCGCTGCGGGGTGAGCTAGGCGGTCGGTGGGGCGTGGAGGAGCGCCTAACCTCGGGTCCCTGGGAAGGGAAGGGAAGGGATGGTGGGGCGCTCGCTTCTTTAGACACCCCTGAAAAGTGACACCGTACCTCTCGGCACCTGGGGTGTAGCGCCCTACAGTTCTTGTTCCCGCAGATCCCGCGTTTCTGGGGCCTGGGGCTGCTCTGGGGACGCAGGGAGAGGAGCACACATTGCGCCTGGGAGCTCGCGGGGAAGGCACTTGTAAACACACTGGTGCTTGACTAAGGCCGTTCGCGATCCCGGGAAGCGAGCCAGCGGGAGAGACGCAAGGACGAGCCCAGCCTTGAGTTCCACTTACAGTGCTGATAGCTCGGTGGACGTTCACCTAGAATTACATCAGTTAGAGCTCTAAAAGTGCCACCCTGGTTTTACAGATGGCGGAAGAGAAGACAGAGCAAAGGTAGTGCGTGGTGTTAGGTCTAGGACTCAGAGCCAGCCTCCATTCCTTCTCTTCGCTTTATATGCTGCCTCTCCTTTGGCAACAACTGTTATCTGTGGACGCAGGTACAGGGGCCCGGCATACCGGTGTCTCTCCCCCCCCCCCCTTCTCAAGTATTCCTTTTTTTTTTTTAAAGAACACCCAGTAAGAAGCAACTTGACAATGATTATTTATTTATTTTATTTTTTAAAAATATATTTTATTGATTTTTTTTTACAGAGAGGAAGGTAGAGGGATAATTAGAAACATTGATGAGAGAGAAACATCAATCAGCTGCCTCCTGCACACCTCCCACTGGGGATGTGCCCGCAACCAAGGTACATGCCCTTGACTGGAATCGAACCTGAGACCCTTCAGTCCGCAGGCTGACGCTCTATCCACTGAGCCAAACCAGTCAGGACTCAAGTATTCCATTTTAACTGTTGGGACATCCTTTGGTTTATGATGTGTGTTTTTTCTATGCAGATTCTTTGTAGCTTGGTTTTACCTTTGTTCAACAGTTATTTATTGAGCACCTTCTCAGCCAGGCCTCCTGGGGATACAGCCTCTACAGTTCTCTACCATTTGTGGGTAGATAGACACAAGTACACAGTCAACACACACAGCCCAGTCTAGTGAGACTGCAATGGAAAGAACAACTGACTCTACCAGAGTTGGGAAAAGTTCGAGAAAAGGTGCCTTTTCATTTAAAAATTCTAGTAGTAATACATGATTATATTTTGATTATATTAAAACAATAAAGCACAGCATGGGTGTCCTTTATACAACTTCCCATCCCACTCTCCTCCCCAGATATGGTTTGTTATCAATCTTTCTAAACAGTTTTCTATGAGTATACATAAATATACACATAACATACTGCATATATGCCCGGCCGGTGTGGCTCAGTGGTTGAGCCTCAACCTATGAACCCGGAGGTCATGGTTTGATTCCCCATCAAGGCACATGCCCAGGTTGCAGGCTCCATCCCCAGTGTGGGGTGCGCAGGAGGCAGCCAATTGATGATTCTCTCTCATCATTGATGTTTCTCCCTTTCCCTCTCCTCTCTGAGATCAATAAAAATATATTTTTAAAATACTACACATATATGTTACATATAATAGAACTCCATGTTATAAATCACATTTTATATATTATTTATATTACTAGAGGCCCAGCGCACGAAATCATGCATGGGTATAGTCCCTAGGCCTAGCCTTCGAGCAGGGCCATCTTTCCCAGCTGCCAGCAGCCACCTCGCCCCCCGCTGCCACTCACCCAGGTTCCCAGTTTGCCATCGGGTGATGGGAACCTGACAGCTGGGGAGGAGGGACTGAGAGGTCAGCTGTTCCTGCCCACTCGCCAGCCCCACCCCTGCTGTGGGTCGCCCTCTGTGTGTGGGGCAACCAGCGGGGCGGGGGGCTTGGCCTGGGGACCCTGCATCCCCTGCCACCCAACCCCGGGTCCCCGTTCGCCATCGGGCGATAGGAGCCTGCCGGCCAGGGAAAGGGACCAAGAGGTGGTCTGTGCACCTCATAGTGACTGGTTGGATGGTTGTTCTGCCGTTATGGTTGCTGGGCTTTTATTATATAGGATAATGTGATTTACAGTGCATATTTTTCTGTAATTTTTTTCTGTTATGTATTCAGTTTTTTATGACAATACATATAACTCTTTTAAACACTGCATATATTCCATAGTATAGATAACCAGTTTATTTATTTAGTCCCCTGTTGATGAACATTTTGGTTTCCAAATTTTTATTATAAAAAGACTATCCATAATTATCATTGTACCTACCTCTTTGTGTATATGTACAAGCATTTTACTAGAATAGAAACCTAGAAGTATAATTTTTGGATCAGAGTAACAAGTGGCATTTAACTGGGTCTTAAAGAAGAGTAAGAGTGTACCAAGTAGAGATGAGGGAGAAAGGTATTCCCTTCAGAAGAAACAGTGTGCATAAGTCATGGAGGAAAAGTGAAATTAGACATTTACTGTTTGTACTGTGTAGATTATTTAAACCTCACAGCAACTCTAAAAGGTTAAGTAATAGTATTCCCATTTTACAAATAATAAACTAAATCCCAGAGAGTTTAAGTAATCTGTCCAGGGTTACAGAACTAATTGGTCAAGCCAGGATTTAAAGCTGGTTTATCTGACTCTAAAACCCCTGCTTTTATTACTATAAAAATGTAGGTAGGACACATGTATACTATTTTTTTTTTCTGTGTTACAATCCATGTTTGTTTAGTATGTTTGATATATTTCAAGGGAATTAATTATATCTGATAAATATTAATATCTGGGTAATAACAAGCTTTGATGTAATGGTGTTTTACTATTTATCACTATTTTGGCAAAGAAAAATGTTTTAATCATAGATTTATAGAAATTCTACTTAGACGGTATCTTGGAAATAGTATAACTCATTTATTTATTTATACACACACACACACACACACACACACACACACACTAGAGGCCCGGTGCACAAAATTCATGCACTGGGGGAGGGGGGAGGATCCCCCTCTCACAGTCCAGGAACCCTCAGGGGATGTCCTACTGATGGCTTAGGCCCGCTCCCCCAGGGGAACAGGCCTAAGCCACAGTCTGGCCTCCCTCTGCGGGAGGTGACCAGGCTGATCAGGGGAAGGGGCCACCCCCATAACCCCGCTGCTGCTGCCACTGCCAGCCGCCGCAACTGCCAAGATGTTTTCATCAATATAGACTCCAGTCCCCTCACAAAAAACTGTGTCCGCTCTGGGCCTGCTCAAGCTGCGCAGTGGCGGCTCAGGCACCCCCCCCCACCCCCCCGTCTGTGTCCCTGCCCACCGCTCCTGCCTGCACATGCCTGTTGGGAGGCAGTGTGATGTTAGTGCTGGGCAGGCCTGCACACGCTTCCTGCAGAAGCCCCCGCCCCCATCCCTCGCTCACCAGCTCCTGTGTGCGCGCAACCTGTTGAACGGTCATGACTGGGACACGGTTAGGACCAATTAGCATATTACCTCTTTATACATATAGACTAGAGGCCCAGTGCACAAAAATTTGTGCACTCGGGGGGAGGGAGGTCCCCCAGCCCGGCCTGTGCCCTCTCGCAGTCTGGGACCCCTCGGGAGATAACGACCTGCTGGCTTAGGCCTGCTCCTGAGTGGCAGAGGGCAGGCCCAATCCCTAGGTGCAGCCCCTGGTCGGGCTCAGAGCAGGGCTGATTGGGGAGTTGGGGCGCCGCCCCCCTGTCATGCACAGAGCAGGGCGGATTGGGAGGTTGCGATGCCACCCTCAGTCACGCTCAGGGTAGGGCTGATTGGGGGGTTGGGGCACCGCCCTCTGTCACACTCAAGGCAGGTTCAATGGGGAGGTTGCGGCGCCACCCCCTGTGATGCACAGAGCAGGGCCAATCAGGGGGTTGGGGCGCTGCCCCCTGTCACTCACAGAGCAGGGCCCATCAGGGGGTTGGGGTGCTGCCCCCTGTCACTCACAGAGCAGGGCCAATCAGGGGGTTGGGGCACTGCCCCCCCCCATCACGCACAGAGCAGGGCCCATCAGGGGGTTGGGGAGCTCCCCCTCTCATGCACAGAGCAAGGCCCATCAGGAGGTTGGGGAGCTCCCCCCTGTCACGCACAGAGTAGGGCCGATAGGGGAGTTAGGGCACTGCCCCCTGTCACACACAGAGCAGGGTGGATCAGGGGGTTGGGGCGCCGCCCTCTATCACCCACAGAGCAGGGCCAATCAGGGGGTTGGGGCGCCACCACTGTCACACTCAGGGCAGGGCCGATGGGGAGGTTATGGCTCTACCCCGTCACACACAGAGCAGGGCCGATCAGGGGGTTGGGACGCCACACCCTGTCACACACAGAGCCGCAGGGCGATCAGGGGGTTTGGGCGCTGCACCCTGTCACGCTGATCTGGTGCCAGGAGGCCTCACGGCTCCGCTGATCCCGGTGCTGGGAGGCATATTACCCTTTTACTATATAGGATAGAGGCCTGGGGGCTGGCTGGTTTGCCCTGAAGGGTGTCCTGGATCAGGGTGGGGGTCCCCACTGGGGTGCCTGGCCAGCCTGGATGAGGGGATGATGGCTGTTTGCAGCTGGTCACACACCCTTCAGGGTGGGGGTCCCCACTGGGGTGCCTGGCCAGTCTGGGTGAGGGGCTGAGGGCTGCTTTCAGGCTGGCGGTTTTGACTGCTTTCAGGCTGGCGGGAAGCTCCCAACCACTCCTTTTTTTTTTTTTTTTCTTTTTCTTCTGGGACAGCTTTAGCTCTGGCTCTAGCTCTGAGGCTTCCGCTGCTGGTTTGTTTGCCGTTCTATAATCGAAACAATGTATAACTTCAGCTCTGAGATCCCAGCCGGCTATATTTGTTAGAATGTTTCAAACTGCCAGCTCAGAGTCCGGCAAGGCGGGGAATGTTGGAGTCTGCAGTCACGGGAGCAAGGAAGCCTCATGTTCGCTTCCAACTGCCTGGCTGCCGGCCGCCATCTTGGCTGACAGTTAATTTGCATAAGGATACGCTGATTAGCCAATGGGAAGGGTAGCGGTCGTACGCTAATTACCATTTTTCTCTTTTATTAGTGTAGATTATTCCACATATAAGACACATTGTACAGTATTTGTATTTCTCTTTCTGGCCTATTTCACTTAATATAGTTTTTGAGGTCCATCCCTGTTACATATGGCAAGATTTCATTCTTTTTTATGGCCTAGTAATATTCCATTCCATATATATGTATATATCACAATTTCTTTATCCATTTATCTGTTGATGGGCACTTAGATTGTTTCCATATCTTGACTATTATAAATGCTACAGTGAATATGTGGGTGCATATATCTTTGAAATACTATCTTTGTTTTTTTTTGAATACCTAGAAATGGAATTGCTGAATATAGTAGTTGAAACAATCCCTCTCCCAGCTTGAAGGAGTGGCCTCATCACTGTCTTGTCATTCAGCACTGCCTCAGCTTTTGGTTGACTCTCAAACCTTTGTGCTTGTCCAAGCAGCCCAGTACATCTTTTTTTAAAAAATATATTTTTATTGATTTCAGAGAGGGAGAGGGAGAGATAGAAACATCAATGATGAGAGAGAATCATTGATTGGCTGCCTCCTGCACGCCCCACACTGGGGGTGAAGCCTGCAACCTGGGTATGTGTCCTTGGCTGGAATCGAACCTGGGACTCTTCAGTCCATAGGCCAACACTGTATCCACTGAGCCAAACTGGCTAGGGCTCAGTACATCTTTAATAGCTCCCAGTAGTTGAACATATGCCAAGACCTGTCAGTGTCCCAAAAGGGTGACTCTTGGGCTGACTGGATGCCAGACCCTCAGGCATCAGCTTTGTATGCAGATGTACCCAGTCATGTGGGACTAAATGAGTAAGCGCCACTGGCCACCAGAAATCAGGGCTTGTATATTTTTTATATAGCTGGAGGGTAGGGTAATTGGGGCAGTGGAGGAATGAGGAGGAGGATAAGGTTTGAAAAATTATGCCGCAACAATTATTACTGGGTGTTTACCTAATGATGACTGTTTCCATCATTCCTTCTACATTTATCAATTGAAGCAATCCCTTCTCCCCATTTATTTAATTATATCGTTATATCAGTATGGACTGATAGAATTTTTTATTTTGTCTTATGGGTTATTTATCCATTACCTTATTATGCTGCTAATTATTTAACAGAGATAGAAACAGTACCATTAAGTACTTACAAGTGCTTTCAAATGTAAAGCCCCCACATCTAACATGACTTGTTATCTTAATTTGTAAGGAAAAATGATATTAAAATTTTAATATTGTAACTTAGATCAGGGTAAGATTTACATATTATTCACACAATTCAGTTGTCAAATGCTTTATGTGTATTTACAAGTCCTTCCCACCCCCACCCCCACCCCAATTAAGGGGCTTGGAGGGAGTAGAATATGGAGCTGGCATAAGGCCAGCCATTAAGCATGCAGGGCAGGAAGATAGCTGTATCTTCCTGCTCAGTCAGGCTGTGTGCAAAGTACATCCATTAAATAGTTTAGTAAAGTCAAAAGATTGAGTAGAGTTAGCTGACTGGAACCAGGGGAAAAATTTCTTCAGATACTAATAGTGATACCATTTTGAAGGTGCTTATATTATTTTATTCTTTCCAGGTTTGAACTCAATAAAAGGAAACTGGCACAATTTTTGTACTGCTGTTTATAAAGATGTAACTTATAAGGAACTGAAAAACCTCTTGAATTCCAGAAAAATTATGTTAATTGATGTTAGAAACACATGGGAAATTATTGAGTGTGGAAAAATCCCTGGGTCTGTTAATATACCATGTAAGTGACATGTATCTTAATCTGATTCATTTCAAAAAATACATATTCAGCCAATTTACTGTAGATAAAATTTAATTGAGATTCTTTCTTTCAGTAAATGAGGTAGGTGAAGCTCTACAGATGAACCCAGAAGACTTCAAGGAGAAGTATAATGAAATAAAGCCATCCAAATCTGACAGTCTAATGTTTTCCTGTTTAGCTGGCATGAGAAGCAAGAAGGCTCTGGACATAGCAATATCTTTGGGCTTTACCAGGTATGTAGGTGAAGGATATATACTGTAATGTTTCATATATATTATGTTATTGGTCTACTGAATTTCTTACACTATTAGTAATGGCAGTATAGCAAGAGTTAGAGCCTCTATCTTTTCATAGTGCTCAAAAGTAACACAATCTTTTAAATAGGCTTATAGTCTAAACGGTATGGTGAGTAGCCATCGCATCTCTCAATTACTAGTTTTCATCAACCTTGTTTTATGAAGCAGTAAAAAATGTTTACAGCACTATTTGATGTATGTTTTCAGGTCTCAACACTATGCTGGAGGATGGAAGGAATGGTCTACCTATGAACATTCAGAGAAGAAACAAGGAAACTGAAGTTTGGAATACAAGCTGGTTCTTGCCTTATGTACATGCAGCCTAGAGTTGTGGAATGAGCAAAAGAATAAAAATCTAGCTCTGGCACCACTGGCTAATGGGAAGGGGATTTTGTATAAGTCAATTAATTGTTGAATCTTTTTCTCAACTGTAAATTGAGAATACCACTTCCCACCCTGGCCTGGTAACTCAGTTGGTTATTGTGTTGTCCCATATGCCAAGGTTGTGGATTTGATCTCTGGTCAGGGCACATAAAAGAATCAACCAATGAATGCATAAATAAATGGAACAACAAACAGATATTTCACTCTTTCTACAAAAAAAGAAAAAAAGAATACTACTTCCCCCTGCCTACTTGCACAGGCTATTGAGGATTGAGATACTGTTAATGACCTGCCATGGAAATATAAGAGTTGGGATTCCAGAAATTAATTTTTAAATAGGTTACTAGAGTTCAATAGTATTCCAAAAAAAACCAAATTACTATTTGGATTTCCTAATCGTGTGCATGTGTGTTAGCACACCAATCAGAGGCTATGAGTTAGACCAGATTAATAAACAGACTTGACCTTAAAATACCAAGAATCTGAAATCCTTATTAAGTAGTTGAAATAATAAACAATGAAAATATATTAACAGCATCCAAAGACATGGCAGTGTTGTGGCCAGCATGGTAGTGAAATAATTTTCAATTTAAAAATAGGAATCAGAACTGTGGTTGCTTCTATTGAGGAAAGGAGACTAACTGGAAAGGCAAGGAGGGAAATTTCTAGGGTAATAGAAATGCCTTATATCTTGATGTACTGACACATACATCATCAAGAATCATTGAAGTAGACACTTGAAAATATACATTTTCTGTATCATTAAAAAAATATATATGTATATATATTTAAACTTAACCACTAGCATGAGTATATTCCTTAGCAATGCCTTACACTTGTTAGCGTGCTAGTGGTAAAATATTTGTGCTTTCTTCCATCTGTGCCTCTTTGGACCCATCTGGGTAAATCAATGATTATGACATATAATCACTCCACTCTTCCAACACAAGCCCAATCTTAGTTCCTTCAGACCTGAGGAAAGCTTTTTTTCTTTTATCTATCTTATCCTGCCCATGAGACCTTTATTTGTCGCTGATACTGACTTTATACATAATCTCCCTTTCCAGATTCTCTGCTACTCTTCACAACAACAAAAGCCCCCTTAGCACAAGTGATTAATATTTAGCCTTAATTTTAAACCTTTTGAAATTACCCACTTGATTAACTATAGGAGGCTTTAATACTTGTCTAAAGAAGAAGGACTCTTCTCAGAAAACAACATAAGGCAGATTAAAAAAGATAAATATTCAAGACACTGGTCAATATAGCTGGAGAACGTACTTTTATTTTTGCAGTTTTATACTACGAAATCAACATGTAATTTCATTGTTCACAATTGATTCATAAAAATTTTTAATCCTTAAATTGTACATCAATATCCTATGACTCCAAATTTTATCTCTCTCCTTCAAGTCTGAAGAAAATGATTAATTTATTAAGTTCCACAGACAGCACAGTCCCACTGACATAACATTTAGTCTTAAATCCTACGCCCATGTGAGAATTAAGAATAGCCAGTATCAAACTGGCCTGAAACCTGATTGTGTTCCTGGCTCAGGATACCTGTAATAAATTTGTAAATCCAGGCTAAGACATAAAAATAAACTAGAGTGTGTATGTCATATAAAAAACTTTTCACAGTAGAGTAAAAATTAACATTAAAATGTTATAAAATTTCAACCATTTTATGTTTTATCCAATTAGCTTTCTAAATGCCTGATTAAACTGAGTCAAATGCAAATAACTTCATGTAGGTTTTTAAAAAAAGTTTGCCCAGCATTTCAAAATGGTTACAGAATTAATAAAACTTTTAAAATGTCAAAGTATGCTATACATATTGCACTTTTCTGCGAGGCTGGGCTAGTATCTTCCATGGCAAGATACTAAAACTACTGAATAAAATACACTTTAAAATCAATAGGTATTTGATTAATTTCCCTGAAATTATCAATATCATTACCAAAATCTTCCAGGATTTTGTAAGATTTGATTCCTTAAATACAGTTTTAAAGTTTAAGTTAAGGAGGGGGAAAACCCCTCATATAGTTCACTTTTTATGTCCTTTTTTGGTCCTTCAATGACCAAAGAGAATTTTAAACAAATTATGCTTCATGTGTCCTGGCTTAATAAAAAACTACAATTATTATCCAAATTAAGAAAAATTATACTAAGTAAAAGCTATTAATTTTGAAATGTCTGTCTGCAGGTCCCCTTAGAACCTTTCCAAACTTTAAAAAAATCAAGAGCCTTTAATCAATTATGTACTAGAATCAAATTAGGTAAGGAAAACCTTATTTTGCAAAAATAAAATCACTTCCCAATATGCTTGACAGAAACAAGCTATTCATGTTCATTTGTGTTCCATTGAAGACATTACTGAAATCTGTCCAATGGTTTATTTCCAACTGGTCCACTACGGAATTCTTCGGAATGTTTTAAGATTGGCTGTAGCTAGAATTCTGACTTCCATTTGGACCCTGCTCTCCTTCACTGTTCAAGTGGGGAAGAAAGAGATTTTATACCAATTAAAAGATTCATTTTCAACACCCTGATAAGTCTACTAATAATTTTAACATTAGTTATTCTGTAGTACAAACTTACAAAACAAAGACATTCCCAACTGTAAGACACAGATGTGGAAAAATTAAATCCAGAAGACTAACATTTGGTTTTAAATTTTTATTCTTATATAACTTAGTGCCCTCATACATAACAAGCATTCTGGAAGTTAGTGTCCATATACACTCAAAAAATTTAAATTAGGGTATGGGATTTCATTGTCATTACAGGTATCACTCAACATATAGATTAGAGCTTCTGAACAAATTTCCTATAAAATTAAATCTTACATATAAAATCTTATTTCTACTAAACAACTATGAAAAATCAAGAAGTATTCTCCACCCAAAAAATTACTATCCAAAGGCATACTAAAATCATATGTAAACACAGCAAACCTTTATAAATAAAAATATGGTAATTTCCAGGAAAATTCTGAATATTCAAAATAAAAATAACTAAAACTGAAAATACCAGTATCTGTGGCAATAGGATTATTGCCTTATCTTGTCCATCATCATCTTGCAGCTTCAGGCCCTGCCACTAGTGGAGAATCACTCAGGGAATTTCTGCAAAAAATGCATCCAAAGGTAGCTGTTTGAATGACTGCCTTAAAACAGCTCCTTGTATAAGTATTTATTTTTTCCCAACAGTGACATTAACTTATCAGACCTACAAATCTATCTCAATGTTTGATAACTTAAATATAAGTTAATTAGGATGGGCACTATTTGTTTAATCCCTTCTGACCTTGATTCCTACCCCAATGATCTAATGTACAGTGAAAGCGAAGAACCACTAAACTAAATGAACAGATCCTATTAAAACAACAAAAGCCCCCTTAGCACAGGTGATTCATATTTAATAAGGTTATGTTTATTGGGTGTCATTTGGGGCACTCAAAAGCTAAAATTTTTTCTTTACAATATCAGATCAATAATCTAATTCATAAAACAGGATAACAGCCAGTATCGGGGAAAAATAAAAAAGATGACACAGAGTCACACTGACATTGGAGTACTACAGAATTCTTTATCTCTGAATTTCTGATAAACTGGCCTAATTCTGTCCTTTTTAAATTTATGTATAGTATCTAGCCATATGTTGAGGGATACCTGTAATAGACCTGCCATTGCATTAGGAAGTTACTAACAGATGATCCAATTAATATTTTAAAACGAGACATTCTTAATCTATCAAGTCAGAAACTTAAAAAAAATTAGTATGGTGAAGTTTTGGGAGAAATTTTAAGGAAAAAAAAACAATGTAATCTATGAAACAATGTGATAATATGTATGAAATATATAATTAAATGGAATCTATAATTAAAGTTTACAAAGTACCTGTTTGGAGGAGGTTTTGGTTTTGGCATCTTGCTAAGAATAGTTGCCATCTCTTTTCTCTCATCAAAATTCTTCCACTGTTCATACAGTTTTAAAATAACCCTGATTATTTCCAAAATCTAGAAGAAAATATTTAAAAAGTTCTCAGTGACAATGTAAAGCAACATCTAGTATATAAAGAATACACATCCAGCATGCCTCAGAAACAGTGAAAAGACAGTGTCTGTCCTTAAGTATTCAGGCTAGACAATCCTGATAAATGTGAAAGTAGTATTTGTATCTGCTATTTAGGCTTTTCCTTCTAGCCTCTCATCTGTTAACATGTATGCCCCTGTCCATCCTTATCCATCTCTCTGCAGTTAGTTTCCTTCCATCTGCTGATATCTAAACCAAAAGAAAACAGTGAGGTACTAGGAATAGAGGTCTAAATCATGAAGTTTACCACTATACAGTAGTTTCAAACAATTTAATGGAAAGTAGTGCAAAAAGATATTGTTTTGATTCTATTAACTATAGTAAACAAGTTAAGGTGCTAAAAAATTGGCAGCTATAAAGCTATATATCCAGTTTCCAAATTAGCTCTCTCTTTCTCACCTGAGTAGACCTAACCTTGGATTAATTTGAATGCTATTAACATTTCAGCAGGAAAGATGGAAAAAAGGGCAAAAACCGCTTTGCCAGAAGATAGCCTGTGTCCTAGAAGTTTATAGTACCATTTAGTGGTCACTAGGTAGCTTTTAAAATAATCCTGAAAATTAGAGGCTGCTCTTCAACTAATCAAACTAAAAGTTTACCATTCTGCTTAAACCTAAATTGAAAAGAGAAAGAGAACCTTAGTCTTCTTGCTAAACATGTTTCTTCTTTTTTATTTTTTACCAAAAACTTTTTAGCCTGATCTGAGCCTTAAGATTTTAGTAAATATGACCTTAACTTTAAAATGTTCAAGTTTATATTCCACTACGGCAGCAGTTCTCAACCTGTGGGTTGCGACCCCTTTGGGGGTCGAACGACCCTTTCACAGGGGTCGCCTAAGACCATCGGAAAACACATATATAATTACATATTGTTTTTGTGATTAATCACTATG